ATCAGAGATTTTCTTACCGAGGGTTGCATGGGGGGGTTTATCCCCCCCTGCGACCCTGGTTTGCATTTGTATAGCTCACAGCATGTGTATTTACATGTTAAAGCCTCCCCTAGAATTCCATGGGGGGGAGGCATGGGGGGAACACTGCCTAAGAAAGTCCACTTCAATTTCTGACAATTTACGGGAGTTTTCGGCGAAGCCTGCAAATTGCCGTAAACTGCCGCTAACCTGAAGTTCCACGACAATCTACAGTGCCGCATATTGACGAAAATCCCACTTTTCATGCAGTGTTAAGTACCTCTTTTTGGTATCCATCGTTGCTAACACACTGTACGTAACCTTATGGTTGTTAGGGTTTCTGTTTGTGGGAAATGTTTTGTGTTTTCTTTTAATGTCTCCATCTATCCACTAGATGGTGCCCTTTTTTCCCTCTTGGCCTGAAGGGCCTTTTTCTGATACCACTCACACATGCGGCTCATTTGGTAATTTCCAGAGGAGTATATAAGCAGCGGACTGTGACCACCTTCAGTATTGGGTACTCTAGCCTCTCTGAGATTAGCTGAGTGTAACCTTTTTGAATTTTCATCTCTCTGAGTCTTAAGTTCTAACCCTTTGTCTCTTTGTGGTCTCCGGCAGAATTATTTCATGATCAACTGGATAAGCCTGGTCATTCAAGCCTTGGAAGGAATCTATGCGTCTCTCTGAGACTAAGGAAAACATCCACAACTTCAGTTTGAAGTCCACTTCAGGAAAACTCGTTGACAGTCCGCTCCGCTGCTCCTCTGGACTTCTACCAGTCTGTTTGTCCGCCCTCCAGCAAGTTATCTCCTTATTTGATTCATCCCCACAAACAAGAACCAAGGAGCTACCACAAGTAATCTACTGTGAGTCCTTCCTGGCTTTTTTCAGTATCAACCTGTAAATCCCATGGACCTTGAACTCATCACTCTGATCTCCCTCTAGAGTTTCCAGTTCCACCTCACCTGACCGCTGGATATTCCCCAAGCCTAGAATCCTTGGTTTATGTCTCTCTGAGTGTCATTATCTCAATAAACTTTTCAACTTTTCCCCTGCCTCTGAGTTGTATCTGCATGTGGGCAAAATATTTGTAACCCATCATGACAATGGTTTTATCTACACTCTGGGTTACCCATAATTCCAAGTCCTATTGTCAAAAATAAAATACTCAAATACATGGTTCTTTTAAGATCTTTATTACGTTTTGAAAAATATTATGAGTGTATTTTTTACCAACCGTCTAATGAACTATACACAGTTATTAACATAGTAAATAAAAGTACCACTGTCTGCTTTGCTATTGGTGTCATGTTTAAACGGCTCACCATCATGTTGAAATCTGCCATTTGTTGGGGTATAAATAAGGTCTGGTCAGTCAACCTAGTACCAGGTGGGATTAAGAGCAATATTTTGCACCATCACATCTGCAAAGAGACTTTCTAGTCCACAATTGCATAGGGGGCCAACGAGGTGTCAGTGACAGGGCCCCTAAGAGGTCGGGGGTCCCTAAGCAACTGCATACTCTGCTTACCCTTAGTTACCCCATTGCTTCCAGCAGTGCTTGTGCAGAAATGCGTCTTTGCATATGTGTTGCTCAGAGTTTATGCTTCTCTACCTCTACACTGATTGTTTGCTCTCAGCAGTATTGCTCTCTCTGCTCTTACTACTTAATAAACTATATGGCTGATCATCCTCTGTAAAGTGTAAAAAATTCCTTTGTCTAATTATCAAGATTTTATTTCTTCCAACTCACAAGAGGTGATGCTAAACAATCCCAAAGAAATCCATAAATATTAACCAAAGCAAATATTTCATTGCATACTGTTTTTTTTTGGATAAAGCCAGGTGAAAAGATAGATTATAGATTATTAAATATTTATCTCTCATAGTTCTCGTTTCTATCTATTTAAATATGATATACATGTTTCCTTGTATTGTCATTAAAATATTTTCTCTGTTTCCTTTAAATATTTCAATATTTTAGTTAGCATATCCATTCACTTCTGGATCTGGATTGCCATGGCATTACAAGGCAATTCTGTAGTTTCCCTCTGTACTTTTTTTATATCAAAACACTGGGAATTTAAATCTACTTTGACCCCTGAGCAGCAGTGACCAAAGGGTAAATTGAAGAAATAAAGCCAAGGAGAAAAAAGTTTAAGTGACCACGATCATCTGACAGAAGATGAATATCTGAGTTGGTCACTTACCTGGTTTAACAGTCAGGTGCAAGTGTCTCCAGTGCTGCAGTCCCAGAGGTCCTGCAGGAAGCAAATCCTGGTCAGGGATCCAGAACAGACGGGAACAGACAGAACAGGCAGGATCCAGGCCTCATAGAGCTCCCAGGCAGGTTCAGAGTCCAGCAGAGTCCGAAGCGTGACCAGGCGGTCACACACAGAAACGGACAGGATCTGGTGCAGACGGGGAGGCTCAGTGGAAGAGGGTAGCCGAGACAGGATGTGGAACCAGAACTGAATGCAGGACCTTTAAACTGGTCTCGTTTATTAAAGAAGACACTAAACACAGAGTTTCTTTGGGGGACACATAAGGCACATTGCAACAGAGAGTGAGAGTTAAAGGGAGTATAAGAAGAGCGACAGCACTAAAAGGCTTACTTTGTGAGATTTGAACGATCCAGCATCGAGAATTTACTTTAAAAATAATCTAGAAATAACAGTCAGCTTAATCTTCAGCTGTACTAAGACAGGATCAAAGTTTTTGTCTGTTAGATCAGTGGTGTGCATCCATTGCTTTATTGCTCATTTATAATACTAAACACTCCTGGCCTAGGTGTGTATTTTTTATACAGACCAAGTCTAGTCCATTGTTAGGCAACAAAATAAAGTTTGAGAAATGTCAACATGGAGCAGACCTTCTTAGATCTGTGCAGCTGACAGATGTGCAGCTTACAGCGACAGATTACCTTGTTGCTAACTGAGCCACCATCCGCTCCTCCTTCATTCCATACCTGACTCACCTCGACATGTCCTTTATCATTTGGTTAACCCATTTTAGTTTCTGACCGACACGTTTCTTTTTTATGGCTGTGCTAAAAATAAACAATGAGTTTTTTGGCATGGATATTTGAACTGATTTAGAATTTTAAAAACCGGTACATTTACAGTTGGCTTTTGTGTCTATGCTTCTTTCTGTATGTCTGCCTCTGTCTCCTTGAACCCCAGTTGAGGATGCCTGCTCACACTGAGCCTGGCTCTGCTGGAGGTTTCTTCCTGTTAAAAGGAAGTTTTTCCTCTCAACTGTTACTACATGCATGCTTCGTGTGAGGGGTTGCCTTCGAGTCAATGAGTCGATGCAACTAACTGGTTTTCATTAGATAGAAAACTTTAAATCAATTGACTGTATGATCTGAATGAACTGTAAAGTACCTTGATATGATGTGTTGTGAATTGGTGCTATATAAATAAACTGAATTGAAATAAGTTGACAAATGTGTTACTGGCACAAATTTTCACAATTAATGCAATGTGTCGCTTTCAAGCGTGAACTTGGTAAGAAAACGGGTAAATAACATGTTCACAGGTTTTGCAATAAATACAGGAAATAAAGTTATAGAAGCCTTGGTACATGGTAACAAGAAACGACAAATTAAACAGTGAACTAAACTGGGTAAAATACCTTCCAGCAGGCAGGAGGACATGTAGTGGAGGGCCTTTTGTGGGGCCCACTGTTCTCTATCTATTCACTTGATTGCTGATTGCCCTTTGGTAGTACGGGGTGGAAGTGAAGCCACCGGCCACCATATTGGTACTCCCTAGTTAGACCGGTCG